ACACACACACACACACACACACACACACACACACACATATACATACATATATATATATATATAGAGAGAGAGAGAGAGATAGATAGATAGATAGATAGATAGATAGATAGATAGATATATAGATATATAGATATATAGATATATATATATATACACATATAAATCTCTATATATGTATATATATATATACACGTGTTTATACATATGCATATATACATATCCGTATATGTATCTCGTGCCCAATTCCTGTTCTATGGCAACGGGATCTCATCGTCCTTTGGTTAAGAACACGAATAAGACTCGCCTTTCGTTGTATCTCTTCCGAGAAAGTAAATTCTCGTCTCAGGTCTTCCTTGAAAAAATTGAACAGATGAATTTCGAAAAGACAATCTGAAACGAAAGAAAGAATGAAAGATAAAAATGCAATAGACTGACACTGACCAGATATACAGATACAAACATTTTTTTAAAAATTTTGCTCATGAAAGAAATATATATATATATATATTTTTTTTCTTCTTATTTGAATTACTATATTTACGTGTAAGGACGAAGGTTTCGGGTCCGAGGAGCCCAGCGGCGGCGTTCTCAATTCTCGTGAAATCGTAGCGGCTTATTGGCCCGCTTCTCCCCACTCGCTTCCAGCCCGTCGTGTTGCAGCCGCCTGGAGAGGGGGGGGGGGATTTGTGAATGAGCAGAGAGCAAAGGCATTGATTTTGTAAGGCCGCCCCTACCCCTCCCCAGCGCCGCGTCCCCTTCCCCTCCCCACCTCGTAAACTCCCACATACTTATCACTTACACGACAGTTGAAATCTCGAACATTTCAGTAAATTTCGGAATTTCTCTGGACAAAGGTTTTGCTGATCTGAACATATACTTGAGGATGATTTATTTACAGATCAAACAGTAAGTCATATTTACATACATTGTTTGAGAATGTTACTGATTAGATTACCCACATATGTATATAATATATATATATATATATATATATATATGTATATATATATACATATATATATATATATATATATATATATATATATATATATATATATATATATATATATATGTATATATATATACATATATATATATATATATATATATATATATATATATATATATATATATATATATATATAATATATATATATATATATATATATATATATATGTATAGGTATATATATATATATATACATATATATATGCATATATATTCATATATACATATATATATACTTATATATATATATATATATATATATATATATATATATATATATATATATATATATATATGTATATATTTATTGGGTGGGTGCTTCATGCTCGGGTTGATGTGAAGCGATGGTGTGGTAGCCTAGATAGTGTTAAGTGCTTGCATACCTTCTCGCTTACAGCTGCCACCGCTGGCTAGCCTGGTGCTAAAAAAGAGAGCAGCTATGCATAAAACTCCCCTGCCAGCTCATAGCCTCTCCATCACCAAGATTTCTGCAGTGCCTCCTCGTGGCCACCCATGGAAACTAGGCACCTTGCGGTCCTAGGCTGAACTGTGGAGGCTCTTGGAGCAGCAGGAGGCCCTAAAGGTACGGAGTCATGCCTACCGGCGTGTGGACATGCCCTGACTTCGTACTAACTCCTGCCCCCGTTCCCCCTGGGGTTAATGGGCGGCTGTGGGGAGGCAGGCCTTGCCAGTCGGCTCCCCGAGAGAACCATATTGGCACCAAAACATATAGTCGATGGTGCTGGGGGGAGGGCAGAAGTCCCTCGCACCAAGCAAGTAAGGCGGGCTGTGGGTCCCTCTGGGTTGGCGACCGCTGGGACTAGAGTGGAGGGCGGGGGTTACCCGTCACCCCATCAGGGTACCGGCGGCCGCAGAGGAAGTCGACAGCCATTTCTTAGTAAATGACCTTCGCCCTGCCTACCAAGCCCTGAGAAAGCTGAACTCCAAGCCCTCCTCACAGACGACTGCAGTCCACTCAGCAAATGGCCAGATAATCTCAGATCCTGATGGGGTGCGTGTGTATTGGGCTGAGTATTTTGAGCAGTTGTATCAGGTTGATCCACCAACAGTTAACATGGATGCAGGGAATGTCGAGATTCCTCTGCCTGACCCACCCATCAGAGAGGATCCACCCCCCCTGACTGAAGTCAGGGGGGCCATCTCCAAGCTGAAGAGTGGAAAAGCAGCAGGTGTTTGTGGCATCCCAGCTGAATTGTTAAAGGCTGGTGGAGAACCTATGGCAAGGGGCTTGCATGCAGTCCTGTCCAGACCGGTACCATTCCCCCTGATCTGCTGAGGGGTGTGGTCATCCCTCTCTGGAAGGGGAAAGGGGATCAGTGGGACTGCAGCAATCACCGAGGCATTACACAACTCAGTATACCAGGCAAGGCACTCGCACACATCTTACTGAGACGTATCAGAGACCACCTGCTGAGGCATCAAAGGCCGGAGCGATTGGGATTCACTTCTGGTAAGTCAACAATAGACCGC